CAACAACACAATTATCATCTCATCAGTTCAACTATCAACTTATTTCAACTTTAAACAACATAGTCAACTCAACAGTTCAACAACTCAACCATCACAAATAACATCTTTTGCATCATCTCAACACATCTACACACTTCACATCATGCTTTTCACAACTGTCAACTAGATCATCTCATCATATTTCACAACATATAAATATTCAACACATATCTAATAATAACTTTAACAACTTAATTTCAACATGCTTCAATAATATCATCTTTTCGACATGTAATAGATCAACATACAACTCGTAAATAATTTCAACAACATAAAACATATTCAACACATAATACAAATCAAACAACATGTTTAAAATTCATATATCATGCCAACTTACAATAAACAACATAAATCAACCTAAGCACCCAAAACAACTTTCAACTTAACCAAATCACTTATTATGAAATGGAATCCTTCACATAAAACAACATAGATGAAGTTATACTACTCCTATCATGTTCATCCTTATCTTATATGAAAGACAAGAAGATTTCTTACAACTCTCATGAAGACATCAAGTCCTAATTCCATCATCTACCTTGTAAAAAAAATGTAAAAATCGCATTAGATAGCCAAAATCCTGATAGTTTGACTTTTGTTCACTAAAAAAGGTCATAACTAGAGTTCTAGACCTTCTTTTTGAGTGATTCCAGCACCATTGGAAAGCTAACATCCAAGGCTACAACTTTTATAAAGACAACAAAGTCTAATTCGGAAAGCACCAAACCTCTTAGCGCCTCCCAAAGCGCTTAGCGCTTTGCCTCCAAGGATCCCCCTTGTCACACAGCCCCCAAAGGGCTTAGCCCTTTCAAACGGCTCAACCGTTTCAAGAAGCACTCAGTCATTCCCAATGGCTCAAACCTTTGTCTCTAGGAATGTTCCCTTGTCACGCAACCCCCAAAGGACTCAACCCTTTCAAACGGCTCAACCATTTGATGATAGAAGGCGTCATGTTCTTCACCATTTTTGGACCTTCACACCTGAAACTCAGAAAAAGTTAACATGCAATGGAATAAATAACACCCATGCACCAAGAACAACTCAATTCAAGTCACAGAAACAACATGCAACCATACATTTTCCCCAAGATCATCAATTCACCACACATGCAACAAGAACCTCAAAACTCAGTACACGCATGCAAGCAACTCCAATCCATCCTCCAAAACTAAAATTTTCAAAAATCCTACCAAATTTAAGTCCTAAATTTGTTCAAAATCCAACCAATTCAATAAAAACCAAAGTCTCTAGCTTCCTTTATTTCGGAGGACGACGAATCTAGGTCCAAGCTCGAGGAAGAGAAAGATGAAGAAGAAGAATATACGTACTTCCAACTAGCAACTCTCACTTCTACTCAGCACCTTCAGCAACAACAACACAACAAGGGAGCTCAACAATTTGGAACAAAAGAATAGAGTGAGGAGAAAATAAAATGGCTCCAGAAAAAGGGAAGAGAGAAGAATGCACGTGCGGACCTAACAATATATGTGAATATATTCTTATTTATAAGAATTAAAATTTTAAAACACATTTAATGGGGGTAACTGATTCGATTAATATATATTTTTTTATTTCTTTAAATACTTTCTTCAATTCGAATTTTATAATAATATAAAATAAGTATCTATGAGAAAGGTAGACAATATTTTTTTAATTTACAAAAAATCAAATTCAATGCCTTTTCGAGCTAAATTTCTTGGTAGAAAATTAGGCAATATAATCTTATCTTTTGCAGGTGTTTCAACTAAAATATAATTACTTTTCATAAAGATACACGCTGAAGGGCAAAAATTTTCATTTCTTCTTGAATTATAAAAATGAGCATAAACTACTGCTTAATTTAAAAAATAGTAATACTATAAGCTAATTTAGATGATTTCTTAAAGATTACTCATAAGAGAATAAAATAATATCAATTAAAAATTAAAAATTAAATTAAATTCGTACTTAAGTGAAAATTGTTTTTTATAATCATTTTAAAAAGATAAAAGAAAATTAATTATATAGTATACACCTTAAGTCATAATAAAATGGAAAATTATTTTAAAATTTCGGGTGTGTAAGTCAAGTCTAATTTATAAAAAAACTTAATTTTTAATATCTCAATTTTAATGAGTATTTATTAAAAAAGAGTGAAATTAAAGTGTTGAAGTAAGCAATAGAGACCTTGGTGCAGCTGAAGAATGGGCCTTGAAGGCTTATTGGGCTGCATGGCTGCGCTGTCATTATAAATGCGAACCCAGCCCTGACCCCACCCTTGGTAGCTTCTTTTATGGGCTCGTGTTGCGCACATAGCTTTCAGTGTCAGTGGGGGGTACTGCTTTAATTTTAAATCCCCTAAATTCTAACTCAAGCTTTTAAACTCGTAAGGTCGTAATCAATATAAATATAGAATTTGTGTATGATGCATCCTAGCTTCACCTACACAACCCAAAAAAATAAGTTATTATTACGGGTATATTTACATAAGATTTTCCATCAATGTTTCTAGAAGAAAGAAAATAAGAAAGATAAAATAAGTGTGTTAAAAGTTAATTTTTAATAAATTTAAATTTAAATTTTATTGGTTAAGATTTATAAGAAAAAACTATAAATTCACAAATTTTGTGATTTAAATTTTAATTTTTCACATTTTGTCACCAACATTCAAAATCTCACATATTTTATATTTTGTTACATCTAACATTATTAATTGATTGTTGATATTAATGACGGATCTATAAATTTTAATTAGTGAGGATAATATTTAAATACATAAATTTATCAAAATATAAAATAAAATTTCTATAAAGACAAATACATATCATAATTGTTCTATATGAATTTTCATAGTTTGAAAACATTGAATGATTTGTTCATTTTCAATACTATCAAAAACCTCTCTCTCTATAAGTAACTAAACAATCATTTAATCATTCATCTCCCATACAATTTTGCATCCAATTCTTGATGATATTCATAGTAGAAAAAGTTCTTTCAATTGATGCAATTGCCACGGGTAGTATCAAAGCTAGCTCTAAAAGCAAATATATCAATGGATATACAACATGTTTTCTTGTCTCCACAAGCTTCATAGAAAGATACCAATCCCTTCTAATTTTGAAAAAGCACTGTCAAAACATACATTTATGAAATAATTTTCAAGTTGGTTATCTAATATAATGTTCATAACATACGGTGTTTCTTTTAAACATAAAAATATAATGAGTAAATAAAAATTAAAATACTGAATTTCTCATTAAAAATAAAAAAAAATTCAAATAAAGTAATATAAAAATTATAACTTTAAATACACTAATCTCAAATATCACTTTAAATGTATAGTTTAGCTATTCAAACAGGAATGAGTAGAGATGGAAGAAGTTTGTCTACTTTTTTTTTTTTTTTTCAATTTCACTCTTCTACACTTTAAAATATGTTAGAAATAGATGGGAACCTTAAAATATGAAAAGAATTGGAAAAGGTAAAAATAAAATAGAAAAAAGATATAAAATATCCAAAAAGAAGTTAATAACAACTTAATTATGATTTTTTTTACTTAAAATACATACATTATTAATTTATAATTTTTTTTATCTTGATTTACAATTTAAATGTATAATAACTTTTTTTTTTCTTCTAAAACATGTAATTTGTTGTTAATTTTTATAATATATTAAAATATTTTTTTAAAATCTTCTTTCTCACACAAAGATAACTGCAACAAGACTCAAATTCAGATTAAATTTTGAAATTTTTTTTTTCTTTTCTGTTTTTAGATTTTAAATAAAGACAATATAATATTATATATATTATTAATAAAAAACCTGAAAAGTTAGTGGGGGCAATTGCCCCCACAAGCCAATACGTGTATCCATCTTTGGTTGATATCATATTGTGAAACTATTCGCATTGTTACCAATATCAATAAATAGTGACATTTGAACAAAATTAATTAATGAAATACAATTTCATGAACAAGTTTGTAGTTTTAATTCTTTTTGGGATGCAAGTAAAGTCCCACATCGCTCAAATAAGAGGATGAACATGAGTTTATATACACACTTGTCTCTATCGGATGAGAGGCCTTTTGAGTGATGTCCAAAAGCAAAGTCGTGAGGGCTTGAGCCTAAAGCGGACAATATCTCACCAATATCTATGTGTGGTAACCCCTCTGGTGCTCAACAAGTCTTTATACGACTAACATTTTCAAGGATCAAATTTGTATTTTTCATTAAATCTTATCTGATAATTAAAAATATAAACTTAATTATACATTTTGTCACTCAACTTTTAAGAATTTGCAAATTTTGTCATCTAAATTTTCAATTTTCACATTTTGTCACAACATTCAAAATCTCGCACATTTTCACATTTTGTTAGTTAATCATATGACATTATTAGTTGATTGTTGAAGTTATGTTGTGTATTTATTAACATTGTTAGTTACCAATAGATAGTGACGTTTGAATAAAAATAATTACTAAAATACAATTTTCTAGAAAAACTTGTGATTTTAATTCTTTCATAGATTAACTTATTAACACCATATATTTTCCGAGATCAAAATGGTAGTTCCTTCGTAAAAAAAAAACCACCTTATTTATCTTTTATTATTGTGTTGAATGTCATTTATGTACTATTGTGTTGGCCGAGAATTAATTGAATACATTTTCACAATTTAAGAACCAAATAAAATACATCATCAAAATTTTTTATTTTAAATTTTTTTAATAAAATCTCATATGGAATTATTTAAGAGACAAAAGAAGAGAAACCATCTTATACTTTTTTTATTTGATAATCATGTTTATGATAAATTCAATAAGAATGTCTACTTTTGAGAACACAGAAAACTTGAATTAAAAAGAGATATTCACCTATTTAATACTTTTCAAATTTTTTAATGAGATTGTCCAGTAATCAATGAGAAATATTGTAATTAATGAAAGAAAAAAAAAACAATAACAACGACAATCCTATGTTCTCTCAAACCTTGCAAGCCCAACTTTGTGGCCAACATTCTTGATGTCTTGTTGCACTTGTGCTCTAAACTCACTATAAGTGAAGGATCTGTACTTGGAGCTTTCAATTTCAAGGTCTTCATCAGGGAATACAAAGTAGCATATTGAGATCCTTTCTTTGTGATTGTTTAGCTTCACTCTGTGTGTCACGCTTTTGTATTTGTCATCGCTTATTGCCTAAACAAAAACATCATCCGCTATTAGCACCAATTAATAAAGAACTTATACTTGATTATAAAAAAATTATTAATATAAAGTTCAATAAGTTTTTAGTTTGTATAATGTACTTATTTTAAAAAGACAAAATAAAAAATAAGTATATGAATGAAATAAAAATATATTTAAGGCTTAATATATTGGACCTGCATCATGTCACCAAGGTTGACAATTAATGTGTTGGAGATGGGTTTTACAGTCAACCATTGATCATCTTTTAGCACCTCAAGTCCACTTACTTCATTCTCTTGGTTTAATATTGACAAGACTGAGCTATCTGTATGAACCTCCATACCTAAACCAGCATTAGAGTTAGAGGAATTTGGATAACGATAAACACGCACAATCCCAGTGCTTTCTGCCACGTACGACCTAGATGGTTGAATTTTCAGGTCAAGGTTCTTCATCAAAGCTTCGACTAAAGTTGTACCAATTCTGGTTAAATGTTCTCCATATTCCATTAGCGAAAGTCTTGCCAACCATTACATGCATGCAAAACCTTGTTAATTTCTTAAAATTAACAAACAAATAACAAATAATCATACAACCAAAATATTAAACAATACAAAGTTGGAGGATACACATCTTCCAATTTCAAGATATTATTTTTTATTTTAAGACACTTAAAAGTTTGACATTACTTAAAAGTAAAAAAAGTTTGATAGAGTTTTTTTAAAATAAATTTTTCTCTCTTAATTTATCAAATAAAATATTTTTTTAAGGATAAAATTGTGATGATTCAACAAGAAATATCCTTAAAAAAAAGTAGTGGATTTTTTTGCTTGCTTACCTGAAAGACTCAAGAACAGGAAGTTGAGATTGAAATTGAGACAATTGACCCAAAGGCATATTAAAGCCTTCAAGCAAATTGATATTTTCTGGGGCCCTTGTTAGGGCAGTCCCAGATGAAGTGAGGATAGGGGTGCCCGAAAAGTAAGTTAGAGGGGTAGCATTACATGAGGATTGTTTGGACTCATAGGAAAGAGAGAAGAGTTGTTGGGCTTGGTTTTGAAGTTGGGTCAACAAGGTTGATGGAACCCCATGGTTAACCAAACGAAATAGCCCCCAATGCTTGCATGCCTCATCAAGCTTAATATTATTCTTATAATGGGTTAAGCATTCAAGATCTATAACCGGAAGAAGATCCTCTGCCTCGTGGATCCCGTCGCCACCGTCATTAGGTGATAGACTAGGTGGCGCATGGCTGAGTTGGCGGAGAATGGGAGGGAGGGACTCCAAGTTATTCATCTCTCACTTTATGTGTATAATTTGGTGACTCATGTTCACAAACAACAACTGAATATTTATAATAGGATCATCTGCTTGAAGGTCTAGTATTTTTTTTAAGTTAAATAAATTTTTAGTCTAAAAAATTTGATTTTTAATTATCTTAATTTTTTTTGTGAACTTTTAATTTTTTTTTGTTATATAAATTAGTTCTTTAAATTAAGTTTTTTTTTGTTAACCGAAGATGTGTGTTAATAAATCATGACTAATTAAATTATTGATGTGCACGTGACTAATTAGTAGATAACAAATCTTGACATGTGTAATTTTTCTATTAGTTCATGGTCAAATTATTTTTTATTAAAAAATATTATAAAAATATTATGAAAGAGTAAAAAAATTATACATATTATATGATTTGACATCTATTAAGCAATCATATTAATATTAATAATTAAGTCAACCGTAACTTATTAGAACACATTATCATTTAGTATAAAAAATTACAATCCCAATAACTAATTTATGTGATGAAAAATTAATAAAAGACTAAAAAATTAGAAGAAGAAAAAATTAAGAGTAACTACAAATTAAATTCTTAAAATGTTAAATGATTAAAAACTTATTTAACTATTTTTTTATTAAGTGGTGTGAAAATGTTGAATATATCTTATAAAATATTTAAATTATTTCATAAGATAAACATTAACTGATTTTTTTAACATAACAAACCGTTTATTTTGAATGAGATTTTCTTAATTTCTGACTTTATTGGGACATATCATATATAAACCCTTTGACCAAAAGAGAAGATGTAGATGATTATTTTTAGATCTTTACTGCTACTAATAATAAATGATGGCAAGTGGATTTTTTTTTTAAATAATAAATAACTTTCATTACATGTGTATAGTATAGTTTTAAATGAATGTCCATGAAATATCATTGAATTGAAGAATTTGATGGATATAATATAAGAAAAATTAATAAAAGTTTATCTTTTATTTATAATAGGATTATTTGGTTGGAAGTTTAGTATAATAATTATGTTCTATTACGTGGTGTTAAAATATTGAATATATATTATTAAATATTTAAATTATTTTATGAAGGTAATTATTAAATGATTTTATTTTTTAACATAACAAATCATTTATTTTTTCTCTAAAAAAAAACCATTTCTTTTCGTATGAGATTTTCTTACTTTTGAATTTTTAATGTTTCTAGGGACATATCATAATTAACCCTGACCAAAAGAAAAAATGTAGATTATTAATTTTATATTTTTACTATTAATGATCTATAAATGGTTATATACATGAATTTTTATAATAAAAAATAGCTTTTATTAAAAAGAAATAAAAATTCTATGAACAACTGACAGAGTAAAATAGATTTATACCATTATCTAATCACAAATTATCATATATGATAAATTTGTTGAGTTTTACAATAATCATCTTAAAAGTCATCAAAATATTGAATGATTTTTCTATTAAATGTTTTTTTCTCTAAAAAAATTCTCATTTTTTTAATGTTGTTTTTTACTTGTTCAGACAAAATTGACTGTTAACACTTTTTATTTAATCTTTTTGGAATGGAAAAAATATTAGTTTTATATGGTTTATTATCTAATTTAGAATATACAAAATAATAGTATTTCATTTTCTTATCATTGCATCCATTTTTTTTTATATTTTGTTTGGAGGGATAAAAAAGATATATGTAAGAAAACAATGACTCACTATCATATAATTAAGATTCTTGATAGCAATACTAAAAGAATTATGGGCTTTTGACGAAACAAAGTTGAAACAAGTCTCAGTTTATGAGTCCTTATCAAAAGCATCCAAAAGTTGAATTACTTAGTTCATAATCAAGTTAACTAGGTTAATTTTGATCTTTTTGGCTTATTGATAAAAATTAAAGAGGAAAATTTTCATATGATACTTAATTTGTATTGTCGAGAAAAAGATTTCACCCTTATAAATGGCTTAAAAAGTCAATAAAAGGCTATTACTTATCCAAAGGATATATTTGGTAATAACATGTTTGTTTAGTTTTTATTTTATTTTATTTTTTAATAATTAGAAGTTTGAAATCATTTAAAATATGATTAAAATAAAAATGTATTTGGGATAATTTTCTTAATAAAATTATTTTTTTTAAAGAAGTGAATTTTATGATTACAAATAAATATAAATTGCTTACTAGAGTCAACTGAGAGAGCAATTCTTGAGTATTTTATATAAACTTAAATTTGAACTTTGTTATCATTGCTATACATACACAAAATATAAATTAGTTTATTTTTTAAAAATCTATAAAAATAATAACTATTTTTTTAAAAAAAATTCCTAACATATCAAGAAACAATGAATAAAATATTATAATTATTCTATTAACTAAATATTCAATATGATCATTATAGAAGTTATTTACAAGGTAGTTCTAGCTAAATGATACCAAATCAAACTTATAATAAATTATCACGATCGACATATATATAATTTTTCTCATAACTAGAAAAGAGATACTAAGAAAAGAAAGAAAGGTATAAAATATGACGATTAACATAATAAAAAAATATGATAAAAAAAGAAGATAATTTATCAAAAAATATTATAAAAATATGCCATTTTTATTTTTCAAAAAGAAGGTCAATATCAAAAGACGAGTGACATAATTTTCTTTAATTCATTTTCTCCTACTGAATGTTGAATGTGATGACTAACTCTACTTTTGTTAAATTAATTAATTAATTTTGTTCATTCAACATTGTTATAAATTCAAATGTAACAAAATTATTAACAAAATAAAATTTTTAATTAATGAATAAGAAAATTTAAACAATATACCATAGAAAAAGATCTACTTAACAAAAGTTTCTTTTATAACTCAAGTGGTTAGAGTCATTGACACCCTCGCACAAAACCTATATGTATTTTACGAACCATGTTATCATATATTTATGATTTAAAATATAAAAATTATAAGCATGTTTTTAGGCATAAAAAAATACATTTTGAATTCATATCAAAGATATGCATATATTTATACATGATTATAAGTTACAGGTGTTGACTCATGGATGGAAAGTCACAAACTTGCCATTGGAAAACAAGCAAGTGGCGACCATAGTGCAAACATTTGGGATGATACCCCATCTATAGGGATGTTATTGCATAATGGACAATAACTTCTTGTCTACTTTTACTGAACAATGGTACATGGGTACCAACTTCTTCTATCATCTAGTTAGGAAGATGATTATCACTAAAGATGTGTTATGTCAATGATCTATAAAGAGTTGTGTTTGTTATTGCCAATACTTGGTGGAAGTAGTCAAGGTCACCATGTTAGAGACACTACTCTTTCTAATGATGAATGTAATAGGAGGTGGCTTAGTTATTATTTGAGTCTCCTTTTTCATTTATCAAGTTATTTTATTTGGTAACCAAAAAAAAATTGCATAATGCATCCAGAATGGACCAACCCCAAAGCCCAATAAGGTTAGTAAAGGGCACAAAGTAGAACAGAAACATGGTAGAAGAATGGTTAACGGGCCAACTCAAAGAATGAGGATACCATCTACTGACACACATACTGCATTTTGAGTTGCTGTAGCCAAACCTTTTAATAGGTCGTTTTGTTATTTATTTTAGCTCTTTAGCCTTACTGTTGACTTCAGAAATGATAACAAATTCATTCTGAACCAAAGAGAGCAAATTCTCACGCACAATTCCAATTAAGGCCTTAGCCATTTTCAGAAATGCAAAAATTGAACAGGAAATGATTAGAGAAAGAATGGTGAAGTAAACCCGGTAAGTGTTCTCAATTTATATATAAACAAATGTTTTATATATATATATATATATATATATATATATTATATATATATACATATGCTCTACTTTGTGAGA